GCTAATCAAACTATGATAGAGAAGAATTGATGTGTGTTGTGGTTGATGAATTATATTAGAGGTGTATTAAGATTTGTGATGGTTAAAATTATGTTAGAGGTGTTATACTTATATTATTTATACTTTTTTACATGTAGTTCAATTTGAAAAAGTCGTATACTTAAGCCGAATTCGATGAGGTACTATGAACTGCATTTGTTACGAACTACGCTTAGTTGGGTCGTAGAGATAGTAAATATAGTTTTATTACTTAGCTTTTAATATGTGTAAAACCTTGAACATCTATTTCAATATGCACTAGTATGACCTTTTGTTGGTAGTTTTTATTATTCTAACTATCATCTTGCATCAGTCTTTGAAGTTAAAACGTTTAACTTAATGACTCATAGTTTATATAAACCTTATTCCAATTATGTTCTTTCTATCTGCTTGGACTTGTGTATTGGTCATTAGGTTATATTTAGAAATATTGTTCGGAATGATATTTTTATTGGATATAGGGATCTATATTAAGATCCATGATAAGTTGGAGATAATATTAATATTCATGAAGGATTACTCTCAATTGTGCAGCCGTAGGTGCATTCTTCTTCTCCCAACTTGTGCATCACTCTCAATTGAAGGTGATGTACATGTACATCTCAAACTCTTGTATTTCACCTCAATAATTCATATTTATCTTCTTTTTTTATTACTAAAGGATGTAGAAGAAGTGTTCGTAGGTCGGTTTTTGTTTAATCAATTTTGTTGTGTTGGAATCTGTATTTGCAAAGATTTTTGTGACGTTAAAAAAACGTCGCAGTAGATCGAATTTCTAGTAGTGATCAGTGTCATCAGTTACTTCTAATAGTTTAGAACTTCTCTTTTAACACTTTAATTTTTTTTTATACAACATGTGGGGATGGGGGTTCGAACTCATGACCTTTTGGTCAGAAATAGGTGTCTTAATTGGTCTTTTGGTATGCTTTTCTTTAATGCAATACACACAAATACCAAAATTAGTAAAGTCAAGAAGCTCAAGAGTTCTATCATTTCCTAATCTCTTAATTCTTTCAATAGATCTACATGACCGAATCTCTCTGTCCATGTGGAAGACTTTTCATTCGTAACATTTCGCTTTAAACTAGCATTACATGCATAGTTATAATATTGTAATCAAAGGCAGAATTTAGATGAAGTATGTAAAGACCCATATCAAATAAAGAACCATATACAACCAACCACAACATTTTCTTTAAGAAGGTTAATCGGACTACCACAAAAGTTTCAAACGTATCATCATGGTTAAAACTTAGAGCTCCGTTTTAACATTCTTGTTTCTTGTTTTTTGTATTTTATATTTTGTTTGTTTTATTATTTATTTTTTGATATATATAATTTGAAATTTAATTTTTCAAATTAAAATTTACAGTTTTTTTAAGTTATATATATATATTGATATATATTATGCATTTCAAAAAAAAAAAAATTATAAAATAATGCTTTATTTTGTATTATGCAAAAAACTAGAAATAGAAACAAGAAACTTTATTCTATTGTTTCCAAAATTTCTACAGAATTTTTTTAAAAAATGAAAACGAAGAACAGTTGCCAAACAATTATGTTCCTAAAAATAAAAAATGTGAAACAAGAAATGGAAACATTATAAAGAGGCCTAAAAATTAAAATAAAGTTTATGAAAAGAATTCAAAATAAAGCAAGTAGACACAACAAGACCATAAGTTCCACCACCTTCTTACACGCATGCCTCCTTGCGTACCCGATCACAATCTTGTTAGAAATGTGGAGATTTGAACTCTCGTTTCATGGTTAGATGTATGTGATCGTTGAAGATCGATCTTGTTGACACCCATAAATATTTATATATTATTACCAATATATAATTAAATGGTTAGACATTTAAAGACTAATACAATTTTCATCTCTCTACAATATTACATTCCAAATGCAGGAGAAAAAATTCAAACCTACTACACAATAAAAGAAGGGACGATACATGTCTGACCATTTGATGCCATATTGATTCTTATGTCAAATATTACCAAAGTTAAATATATCGAGTACCTTTCTTTTTGTAGTAGTACTACGATTCAAACAAGAGGTTTGAGATTTACCAATTTGAATATAGTTCAACAGGTTAAAATACGTATTTCTAACTAAAAGGTCGTTTGTTCAAATTTGACCTAAAAAAATGTCGTTATTATTATAATAATAATAAAGATAGAGATTTAATATACAACCTATGAGGGAAGTTTCGCACTAATAGTACCAAATTATGGATTGGCAAGTAATTTAATTATCTTCCATTTCTATCTAATATTACTTAACAAATATTACCATATATTACTCTGTTATGTTTACATGCCTTGTATATCTATGCATATGCATGCATCTATGTGTAAGGAAATAGTATAAATTGTTATAGAAATAAATGAAATGGTGCAGAGGTTAGATAATATAAGGGAAAGATTCAAACATTTTAACTATGACACTCGTTACGTTCGTGTTAACCTTAATTTACCATTTATTGTTGAATCAACCTTTGGTATCTAATCTGGTATAGGAATAATATCTTTCCTTAAAATATTGTTCTTTTTTTTCTTTAATAAGTCCTAATATTATCGTTTTCATTTTTCCGACAAACATCAATGTAGGTTATGTTAGCCAACATCAACATAACTAAGTCAAATTAGTACATACTCATTCTCTTGAGGGTTGAGGTTCAAATATCCCTACCTCCAATTTGGTGTACTTTATATTATGTGTAAGGAAAGAGTATAAAACTCACCAAATAAAATAAAAATGGAAGAGTCCATAAGTCAAATATAGACTTAGACTTTTTCTTTTTAGTATAATAATTCAAATAAGGGGTAAACATATTCGAATCTACCATATTCATAACGTAAATTACTAATAATATCATATTTGATAGTGAATTTGGACATGTACTCAACTGTCTAAAGTATATATTCTCATTCTCAATTAAGATGTCATGGATTCAAATCCTCATTTCTAACTACATGTTGTTGTACTTGAAAATAAAATAAAAAAAGCAACGTAACTCTAATTATCTTCCATTGTATCTAATAATATTAGTTAACGAATATTAGCATATATTACCCTTGCTATAATATATATGCATGTATCTATGTGTAAGGAAAGACTATGAAATGCAGTTTACGTGCATGCATTTGTGTGTAGCTTTATCATTATATAAAGTGAAGTTTAAAACCTAAAATCACTGTGGGGGAAAAAATATATAGCTTTTTAAAAGATGAATATGCATAAGTTTCTCTGGGTTTCTCTCACTACAATGGTCATGCTCTCTTTTAGTTTGTGCCGGTAATCTCTCTCTTTCTCTCTCTCCCTCTTTAGTTTAACAATTGTATGAATGGAGATCGAACCATCGACTTTTATATGTCAATATGTGTCATATCGACTGAGTTATGTACCGTGCCGTTGGCTCTCTCTCGGACTTTTGATTATAACGTTTGTTTTAACTTGATGCAGATGTAGAAGTGAAGGAGGGACATTTACTTCCATTAACTTGTGATACATTTTGCTCAGACACGAGCACAAGTGGAAATTAGAAATGCAAAAATGGATGCTTTGGAAGAGGATATGGACATGGAGTATGCATAGGAAATCCAACTACTGGAGTTGAAATTTGTTGTTGTGCCCCTTAAATTCATTGTCCCAAATTTTTATTAAAAGTTGTAGTTATTATACTCGTGTGAAAGGGTTCAAAGTTTTCCCTTTTCTCCATACAACACACATGAAATAGTTATCATGAGTAATAAAAATCGTATGGTTCTTTCTAGTGCAATGCATGTTCTAAAATTTTATCTACATCCTTTCAAAGTATTTATTTTTTAGGATAGATATATAAAATGTCCCTAATGTTTTAGCGAATAATTCTCCAATCTACCCCTAATCCTTTTAAATAATTTCATTTTCATGAGTATTAAAAAATTTCATTAGCTCAATAAAAAAATGTTGTGTGATATGTCATTCAATTCAATCAATGTCCATTAACATATTTAATTTGAATATGCCGATATGCCACTTGAAACTCATATCTACCCATCAAGACCGTTCCAATCTACCCAATACCAATATCCAATTCTTTCAAAGTAGCAAAATATGAAATGATCTTTTTTTTTTTCTTTTTTTTAACTTATAGTTGATGTTGTGTAACTTTTTAGCATATTTCAATAAAACCAAAGGCACGAGCACTCCTTCCAAGGTCCAAATTTGAGAGACATAATTTTTTTAATTTTTATATTAAGCTCAATTGGAGAATCGAACCTGGGATCTCCAAGTAGATATCAATGACCCCATGCTCTTGCCTACGGGGCCGTCCATTGGGGGCTTCAAGTGGCGGCCCCAAGCGGTAATATCGTAAGTATCAAGTTCATGACAATTACATTAATAAAATAATATCAACTTTCCATTAACAATTTCTTTCAATGGAATGACATAATAGATAAATTTTAATACACTAAGGATAAATTTGACAATTTTAAAATGATAGAGGAAAAAAGTAAAATCTACCCAAAATATTAAGGACTATTTTGTATACTAGGGAGGGAACAGGTGAGCTGCACATGAAATATTACCTTAATGCATTTTCTAAATAAATATATTCCTTTTCACAAAACCAATCACTTTACCCTCTTTAATTTGTCTTTAAGCCTTCACATATGGCCTCACCACCTATTTTCTTTTATACACAAGTTTTGGCTGTAATGGGTTATATAAATAATGATGGGGCTTATGGGAGAATCAGGCATAATTGAATTTCATCCATTTTCTTTTGCAAAATTTTGGGCTCTTCTTCATTAGTGTAGGCATAATTAATGTAGTTTAAATTTTTAGGAATTTGTTTGAAAATTGTGTTAAAAGGAAAAAACAAAGGACAAAAAGGATGACTGAATACCTCTTGAACTTGAAAATTTCCCCTTTTTTTATTAATTTTTTTGAAGCAAAGTTGAAAATTTTCCTTGGAAACATAAAACTTGAAAAATGTATAATTGATAATTTAAAAATGTCATAATGAGAATTTTAACAAGTTTTAAGTAGACAAATCTCTATAGAGGGGCAAAATGAGAGGAGAGTTTCTCCCCAATAGCCACTTTTAAGTTTTATTTAGAACATTCCTTATTATTTGAACCTTATTACTCTTGAGAGTATTTTTCCAATCCTAAAACATGGAAAAATATATTTATTTTCTAATAAACTTAACAGTGGCCTCCTAATTTTCCTTTCATTCCAAAGACATTACATATTTGCATAAGAAACTTCTTTTAGAACGGTTTCAATGAGAGGGATTTGAGTGCATTAAGAAAAGAGGTATAAATGCAGCTTAAAATTGTTATATAAAGTGAACATTTCAAGAGCTATAATCACACATCGTGGAAGAAAATATTTGGTTTTCAAAAGGATGAATATGCACAAGTCTCTCTGGATTTCTTTCACTACAATGGCCGTGCTTTCTATTTTAGTTTGCTAGTGATTCCATAATTTATCTGCATCTCTTCAAACTCATTCTTCTTCATTTTTAATGCCACTCTTAAAATATTCCCATACATCTTTATAAATTTTTTATACGCAAAACAAATATAGCCACAGTAGGTCTATAATTTCGGACTTTTTGTCAAACATTATGAAGAAGTCAACTCTATTTAAAAACTTTAGCTTATAGGGTTCGTATTACCATCCCTGATTAAAGGTAAGTATTTCTCCTTTATAAAACATAGCACATCAAATTTCATACATTTCTAACCACACAACCATCAACTTCTTAATTAATGTAAAGTA